CCATAAAAAATATATTTATTTTTGTCTAGGAACAACTTTTAAAATTAGAATTACAAAATGAACTAATATTTGGGCCTGTATAATAGATGGCTACTAGGCATATCAAGGGTGTGTCTAAACTACAGTGTTTTGTCGAAAAAGAGAGCCCCAGCCTGGTCAGGGCCAGAGGTCCTGACACTGCTCAAACTGTGAGGGGAGGAGGGAGCAGTCCAAGCCCTGCACACCCGGCACAGGAATGCTAACATCTATGGCCGCATGGCTTAGGGCCTGTCCGATAAAGGGCACCACCCAAGGACACTGCAACAAGTCCAGGCGAAAGTCAAAGAGCTTCGGCAGGGATACATGAAGGTCCGAGAGCAGAGCTCAGCATCAGGTGCAGCCCCAGCGCACTTCACCTATTATAATGAACTGGATCACATCCTGGGAGGCCAGGAACCTATGTCTTCACCGGTGCTCATGCAGACAGGGTTGCACATACCGGTGCAGCAGAGCCGGCAGGAGGTCCCCAGGGAAGATATGGAGAAGGAGGAAGAGCAGATGGAGGACACCCTGACCCTGACTCTGCAGCCTGTCCCAGAGATCCAGGAAGCCTCGCAGGCATCCTCTGATGCTGTTGAAGGAACATCAGGTGAGGGCAATCAGGGTCAGAGACACAGAACAGGAGAGGTGGGAGCAGAGAGGATGCAGAGCAATGTTCACGTCTTGGTCCTCCTGGACAGCTTGCATCTCTCTGAGTATGTGCAAGCAGGCAGGCAGGTGGTGGGTATGTGGGTGAGGGCCATGGGAGACCCAAGGTGCTGCAGGCCCCTGTCCTACTGTGGCTGAACACTGATCTAGACTGGACGGCCACAGAGGAGGGGGAGGAGGATGTAGGGGGTGGAGGTGGACATTGTCCTAGCTACAACGGGACCCCTGTGCAGCCGAGGCGGCTGGCAGGGCCAGACGTGGCCTACCAGTAACAACATTCCCATCCCTTGTTGTAAGGACTTGTGTGTGAATTGCTAACACTGATCGGTTCTCCCTCTTTTCCTCTACAGCCGGACCTGCTGCTGCTGCTGACCGCCGAGCGACACATGCCATCACCCACCCAGTCCCACAGCACCCGCAGGCACTGGAGGGCCTATAATGACCTCTTGCAGAGACATGTGGAGGTGATGGAGAACTTTGAGGGGACCATGGCCAAAATGCAGGAGACCATGGCCGAAAGAGCCAGGGAGGAGGCTCACTGGCATACTCACCTGCTTGAGGACTTCCTCCCGCAGTGAGGTGGCAATGTGTGCCGCCTTCCAGGAGGCCCTGGGTGTGCCAGATCCTCTCTTCCCTCTCCTTCCCATCCAGCTCCAGCCCCCTCTGACCTCCCTTCCTCTCCCTCAGCCCCTGCCACCCCCCTGCTAGAGCAGAGTCATCTGCAGCCCTGACTCGATCCCAAGGACGGCAGGGTCCATAGACAAGAGGTGGCAAAGCCTTGCGGCCCAGGCGATACCGCCATTACCCTTAAGTTGTCTGCCCTCCCTCCCTCCCGGTTGCCGCCTGCCGTTCGCCAAGCCCATCAGGTGGGGGTTCGCATCCGGAAGGTTCTGCATGAGCGCTTCTCAGCTGGAGCCCAATGACTCCCCAAGGTGTACCCAATGGGGCCTGTGGGCCTGGCCCCCCCATCCGAAAACCTTCCCTCCCATAATCCATCCCTGCATCAGCCTCTGAGCAGTTAAGACAAACACATCATGTTAAATATGAAAACTATAGTATCAGAGGGGTAGCCGTGTTAGTCTGAATCTGCGAAAGCGGCGAGGAGTCCTGTGGCATCTTATAGACTAAATGAAGTGTAGGAGCATAAGCTTTTGTGGGCAAAGACCCACTACGTCAGATGCATGCAGTGTAAATTTCCAGAGGCAGGTATAAATATGCAGGCCAGGATCAGGCTGGAGATGACCAGGTGGAGCCAATCAAGGAGGATGAGGCCCACTTCTAGCAGCTGATCTGGAGGTGTGAATTCCAAGAGAGCAGAAGCTGCTTTTGTAGTTAGCGAGCCATTCACAGTCTTTGTTTAATCCAGAGGTGATTGTGTCAACACAATCGACTCTGGATTAAACAAAGAATTCACAACTCCAGATCAGCTACTAGAAGTGGGCCTCATTCTCCTTGATTGGATCCACCTCGTCATCTCCAGCCTGATCCTGGCCTGCATATTTATACCTGCCTCTGGAAATTTACACTGCATGCATCTGACGTAGTGGGTCTTTGCCCACAAAAGCTTATGCTCCTACACTTCATTTAGTCTATAAGATGCCACAGGACTCCTCGCCGCTTTCGCAGATTCAGACTAACACGGCTACCCCTCTGATACTATAGTTTTCATATTTAACATGATGTGTTTGTCTTAACTGCTCAGAGGCTGATGCAGGGATGGATTATGGGAGGGAAGGTTTTCGGATGGGGGGGCCCAGGGCCACAGACCCCATTGGGGATACCTTGGGGAGTCATTGGGCTCCAGCTGAGAAGCACTCAAGCAAAGCCTTCCGGATGCGAACCCCCACCTGATGGGCTTGGCAAATGGCAGCTGTCCGAGGCTGCACAAACCACCTCCCCTCCACTTCAGCCATTGACCCCCAACCTGGGAGGAAGGCCTCCCCTTTGCTCTCCACCAGGTTGTGGAGGATGCAACATGCTGCCACCATCTCTGGGATATTGTGTTCCCCCATGTCAAGGCGAGTTAGCAGACACCTAAACCTTCCCTTCAGCTGGCCAAATGCGCATTCCACCTGTAAACGGGCGCGTGTCAGGTGAGCATTAAACACTTCCCTGCTCAGGGTCAGATGCCCTGTGTATGGCTTCATGAGCCAGGGCATGAGGGTGTATGCTGCATCGGCCACAATACAGACCGGCATCTCTACGTCCCCAATAGCAGAGGTTCGCTGGGAGAAGAAGGTTCCTGTCTGCAGCCTTTTGTACAGGTGCGAATTGCGGAAGATCCGAGCATCATGTGCCCGGCCCAACCACCCCACACACAAGTCCGTAAATAGTCCACGGTGGTCAACCAGGGCCTGCAGCACAATGGAAAAGTACCCTTTCCTGTTGATAAACCGGGTGGCTCGATGGGGTGGTGCACGGATGGGAATGTGCATTCCATCAAGCGCTCCTCCGCAGTTTGGGAATCCCAGCCCTGCAAAACCAGCCATGATGGTGTCATACAAACACAAGAAGATTATGAAGTAAGAGGGGTTGCCTAAGTCCTTTGGCGACCCCCCCCCCAGTGATTGCTCCCAGTAGTATGATGGTGTAAGGCACAGGAGCCCTCCACCACCTCCCCTCCATTGCCCCACACCCACCCTTTTTCTGTTACTGTCCCCTTATGAACTGCCCTCCCCCCGCCCCCGAGGGACTTACCTCCATCAATACAGCACCAACAGTAGATCTCCCCACACCAAACTGCAGTCCCAATGACTGGTAGCTATCAGGAGTGGCCAGCTTCCAGAGGGCAATAGCTACCCTCTTCTCCAGCGGGATGGCAAGGCGCAGGTGGGTGTCATTGCAGGGTGGGGACAAGTCAGTTGCAGAGCTCCAGGAAGGTGGACTTCTGCATCCTAAAGTTTTGGAGCCAAGCCTGATCATCCCACTGCTCCATTACGAGCCGGTCCCACCAGTCCGTACTTGTTTCCATCCTCCAAAATCGCCTCTCTGGGAAAAAGTTTGGCGGCAGGAACAGTGCTGCTGCATCCTGAAGGAGGGGTTCCAGTCTGGGTTCAGGATCCAGACCAGGCATTAACAGCAGGAAAGTCTCATGCAGCTGCAGCAGCATTTGAAGCACCATGGAGTGGGGCCAGCGCCTGTCCAGGGGAAGCTCTTGCTCCATGGCAAACAAAGTTTTGGAAAAACCTTCCAAAAAAAACCCCTCCATGGCAAACAAAGGTTTGGAAAAACCTTCCAAAAAAAAAAATCACGCTGCTGTGCTGTGCCAGGAATCAGGGCACTCCAAGCAAGCACTGCAGAAGGCAGCTGCAGTAGCAGAGCAACAGCTAGTCGGGGGGAGAAGGGGGTCCCTTTTAGCATGCGTCTCTGCAAAGGGCAGGCGGCAGCACCAAGAAGTACATGCTGCCCCTGTGACCTGGCAAAGCAGTTCCGGGTACTTTCTTCTGTCGACAAAGCATCCTGCAGTCTGGATGCTCTTTGTCGACAAAGCAAGTAGTTTTGTCTATCTGCTTGATGTAGTCTAGATGCTCTTTGTCGACAGAAGTTTTGTCGACAGAATCTGGGTACGTCTAGACTACATGCTTTTGTCAACAAAAGTTTTGTTGACTGTTGGTACGTCTAGACTACATGCCTCTGTCACCAGAGGCATGTAGATTAGGCTACCAGACATAGTAAAATGAAGCGGCGATTTAAATAATCGCCCCTTCATTTAAATTTACATCGCCGCTTCATTTTACTATGTCTGGTAGCCTAATCTACATGCCTCTGGTGACAGAGGCATGTAGTCTAGACGTACCAACAGTCAACAAAACTTTTGTTGACAAAAGCCTGTAGTCTAGACATACCCCAAGTAAACAACATCATATATTTCTTTTTCTTTGTTTTATGCTTTAACAAAGTTGGAAAACTTTGAATCCCATTAGCCCTTTAATTTAGGGTGTCAAAATTCAAGAAACTCTTGTCTGATTAATCTCAAACTTTGTAGAAAAATTCTACTGCCCTTCAGACTTAACTTCCCGACTGGGAGGCCTGTAGGATTTGTAACTGAAATTTAGGGCTATATTCATCCATATCCTATGACTTGGAATCAGCTGTTCACCCAACACAGTGCTAAATCTGGCCTTTAGAAAATGGCAACTTTAACTACAAAGTATTTTCCAACTCTCTACTATATCATTTAAGCTTCTGGGCCTCATCCACCATGTTGTTACATGTTACACCAGTTTGCTCCTGGTGATCTCATTAAACCACTTTCATCAACTCATCATATAATTCTATAATGGAATATTGACTCACAACCCAGATACTCAAAGACTAAGTACAAAGTTGATCCTTATCTATTGTATTTGTCTTCGTCACTAATGATCTTTGAACTTTGTCATGTTGACTTACTGTTGATGTAACTCTGACATTTATTATTCAAGCTAAAAACTTCTTTATATCTATAAAAAGAGAGAGTGTATGAACTCAGTCTTTTTCTCTCAACTGGAAGCTAAAAGGCAGACACAGAGACCAGATTTCCTGCAAAGAGCAAACGTAAGTCTGAACATGGGCACAATTTTTAATAAAAGAAAATCTGTTGAATATTATTTTGAATTCAGTTATTTGAAACACAAGTCTACTGTTGATTTTTCAATAATTTTTTAAATCTCTGCTTAATTTCACTTTTCTCTATACTATAGCAATATGTGTTAGTCATATTATTAAAATAGCATCATCCTCCATCAAGATTAATCCAAAATAGCTCAATATTAGTGAAAAAAAACTCTCTAAAATAAAACCTTGTGTAATTATTATTTATATTTAGTGATTGTGACGTAGTGGGGGTACTTGCTGGGCTGTGGTGACCTCTGCTGTCTGGAGCAAGACCCAGCAGGGAAAACCTTATTATGCAAAGGTACTATACCGGTTGAACCAGCCTACCCCACATGGGGAGAAACAAAGGGAGGTGGAATGCTGCCCTGGCTGGGGGGCAGAGCTGGAAGAGGGTGAGTTAGTTGCTGGCTGGGAGCATGGAGGAGACAGCCTAGGGAAAGGGGCTGGAGTTTAGGGGCCCAGTCTCCCCCATCTCAAGGAGCCCTGAGGCATCCTAGCCCAGCTCTGTGACCAGATTCCATCTGTGCTGTGCTGTATCCTGGAGAGGCAATAAACTTCCTCTATTCCACCGGCTGGTGCAGTCTGTTTGTGCCATTTCGGGGTGGAGGAGACGGGGGACCCCCAACGCGCCGTCACAGTGATATCAGTGCTATGAAGTTGCTTGGCACTTTATAGAAATAAGAGATGTCAACAGACTCTGTTCTCAGGAGCACAAAGTTATAGAGCTAGAAAGAGAATTTAAAATGAACTGTTACTTATTTTCCAGCACCTAATCTTTGTTCATCCAGGGTGACTAGATAGTAAGTAGCCTATTACACTGTCATGCTAGTAGAAAGGTGGAGGAGTACTGTATGTGTGGCTTTGTTCTATCCTTCAGAAAAGGTAACACAAAAACTGATGACTTTTATTTGCCTATTTTAACCTCCTCAGCTGAGTAAATATGTAATGATTTTGATGCTATAAAATTAAACTTGTTTGAAAAATAATTAATCTCATTTTTAGAAAGTATTTGTAGCAACAGTATTTAGTGCTGTGCTTCTTTAACTTTGCCCAAGTGTAGTAATTAACATCACAAACAATGACAAACAGGGCAAACAGTAGCCGAGGCAGTGTCCTGCCCATCTGAATCAATCTCCAAGTATTATCTCATCATGATCATGACACTCCATCACACCAACAACCACTATAACACCCTTCAGTTCAATTCAGTAATATGGTACACATTAAAAATAAAAAATCACAAGGATAACTCAGTGTATAAGAATGGTGCAGTGTCCTTTTAAATTGTGAGCCTATTCTGTATACCCGTTACTTTGTTATACAACATCTTCTGATTGTACAAATGCAATATGTTTTCATATAGCTTGGTAGGGTGCATTATATAATTATTCTCTGATTCTTTGAGTATCTAAATGTGAATGTCTCTCTGGTTTTTATGAACTGAAAAAATGTTTGATATGTGGTCAGCTTTGCACCCTTTGGCTGTCTCATATAGGATATGACTAAGTTTCAATCAAGAACCAGATCTTTCCCTCCTTATTTTACATGAATCATGTTTCACCAGCACAAACAATCATAGAATCACAGAATACTAGAACTGAAAGGGACCTTGAGAGGTCATTGAGTCCAGTCCTCTGCCATCACAGAATGGAGAAAGCTGGATTAACTGGTAGCCAGGGATTTTCTCAGAATTACCCAATGCCGGCTTCTTCCTATCTCTGGTATAGAGGGTATGTTAGGAGTGTGTCAAGAGAAAGGTGCCTGGCCGAATCCCTATCATATGCTCAAGATCATGGGATAATGGAACAGTCCAGTGGGGACATTACAAGCCTGTGCAATTTTTTGGTTACTTATGCTGTCCTCTCTAACCACTAACCTCCCAAATGGAGTATGATGTAAAAGAAGGATCAAAGTCACCCTTAAGCCACATTCTGACCTAGATACAACCTAAATTTTATTATTAAGTTCTTGGATAAAGAAATGTTCCAACTAGGGACTGGCCACCCCCTAGTTCTCTGAGCATCATTTTTCTAGATCAGGGGTTCCCAAACTTTTTGACACGGGGACCAGTAAATCCATTCACGAGCTTTTGGAGGACCAGTAACATTCATTTGCATATTTGCATATTCATTAAGCAAATAATGAATATTCAAATAAGTTGTTTCTGGTCCTCCCAAAAAGCCCCCCAGTGCCAGCGTTAGCAAAGCTTTTGATACAGTCACCCACAATATACTTGCTAGCAAGTTAAGGGAATATGGATTGGATAAATGGACTGTAAGATGGATAGAAAGCTGGCTAGATCAGAGTTTCCCAAACTTTTTACTTTAGTTGGAACCCGGTTTTTTTAGTACTGTTTTTTGCAGCCCAAAAATATAAACTCATCTAAAAAAAGAATGAAAAATGAATACATTTTCAGTGTTTCACCCAGCTGCATCCTCCACCCAGCCTGGGCCAGGGCTTGGGGAACCTGGTGCTGCAGGGGCACTCCAGGAGGCGGGAGAAGGAGCAGACTGGGGGTAGGGTATCTGTCTAGGAGGGAGGGTGCAAGGAAGGGTAGGATTGCCAGGTGTCCAGTTTTGTACCTGACAATCCAGTATTTGAGGGTTTTGTCCGAGAAACAAATTGAGAAATTACCAGACATATAAAATGTCTGATATTTTCTAATTAGGTAAGTTATTATAATTAGGTGCATCAGTCCTTAGCTGCGAACTGCCTGGATGGTAGATGTGCTCATACTGCCTGAGTTTGTCTACTAGCCAGGCAGTTTGCAACTACTCGAGGGAGGGAATGTGTGTGTGCAGGGGGAGGCACAATGGAATTCCCGGCCAGACTCACTCATCTGCCAGGGTTTGTAGGGGCTGCATGTGCCCAGGTCAGTCCCGCTCCCCCCCTTTTCCTCCCAATCTCCCCAGTCCAGCCCTGCTGTCCCCATCCAGCCCTGCTTCCAGCAGCCAGTTCCCCTCAGCCCCCACCAATCTGCCCCGGTCAGCCCCACTGCCCCCATCCAGCCCTACTTCCGGAAAATAGTTCTCCCGTCCTCTTCCTCCTGTTCTCCCCCGTCCAGCCCCCCGGCTGCTGTCTAGCCCTGGTTTCGCCACCTGCCCTCCCCAATTTCTGCTGGACAGACCCACTGCCCCCACCCCTTCTTCTGCCACCTGCCCACCTGCCCTCCCCCATCTCCACAGGATAGCCCGCTGCCTCCAACCATTCTTCTGCTGGCCGCTCGCCCACTCACCCGGATCTCTTCTGGACAGCTCCGTTGCCTCCAACCCTGCTTCCGCCGCCCACCTGGATCTCCGCGGGAGAGGCCCACTATCCCAACCCTGCTTCTGCTGCCCACCCTGGTCTTCGCGGGACAGCCCCACTGCCCCCAACCCTGCTTCCCGGTGGTTGATTCTTCCTCCCCCTCTCTCCGCCACCTCCTCCCAGCCCGCCCCGCTCTGCTCCCCTACCGGCAGCCATGCTGAGGCCTGGTATTTTATTCCCGTGGCCCAGGAGCAGACCGCGGCCCATAATTTAGGAAATGCGATTCTAGATGATTCCAATGGTGTAAGATGTGGTAGAGGGTGGGAGAGAGGGCCCAGGGCATTGGGGCTTAAACAGGAGTTTTTAGAAGAACACTTTGGAGTTTCAAGGGCTGCCCGAAGTGCCCAAGAGTGAGTCATGTGAGAGACCCTGATAAAGCTGCAGCAGAGGGTAAGATGCCATTTGTTGGCTGCTGTGTACCCTGAAAACACAGCACTGGGGTAATGACCCCACAACACACATGCACTCGCCAGAGTGAAAAACTGACAGTCCAAGTGTCAAAGCCAGAGAGTTTGGTTGTTCAGTGAGAGTTAATAAGATCAGTAGAAGGAAAGAGGAGAGCTAGGATTTGTTCAGAGGCCTGGAAAAGGAAGGGAAAGTGTCGAGTCACATAGACCAGAGCCTAAAAGCATGGGAGGCTGATGTTGCAGAGTGTCACATGACTGGATCTATATGGCAGTAGGCAACATAAGTATCAGGAAAGGGGAGGCCAAAGCCCTGAAGCCCCCAACACTGTTGAAAACCCCAGAGGACTTTCTTCATAGGCTATGTCAATACACAGTATTTATGTGGCCCTCATCACTGCACTATTGAGCACCTCAGAATAGCCCTGTGAGTCATGGAAGAGCTGTTACTCCCCTTTCATGGAAGGTTCCTAAGGACTAAAAGCATGAAGGCCCAGATTTGTGAAAGTGTCTAAGAGTTGTGGTTGCAATATCTAACTGAGTCTGGAGTCTAAATTTCATTTTCAAACAGATTTAGTCATGTAGGAGTCAAAATCTAATCCCTAGCACACTGACTGCTGTCTATACAGATACTCCAGCTCACCCTACCGTCACCCCCCTGTAGCACTGAAAGGGGCAGCTAATGGCCGGAGTTTAGAGGACTCATGCCACGTTCTTGATGCTCAAGGTCTGCTCTGCATCCATGCTGTGAGGGTCTTGGAAAGGACTCTCTGGAATTTACTGACATGACGTTCTGCTGTGTCTCTGAGACTTGGAGGCTTCCTAATTACTCTGATCCACAGGGTCACAGACCTATCAATTTCCCTAAAAACAGGCAGCCCCAGCACCACAGTTTGCAGTGAATCTGAACAAGAAAGAAATTCTCCTTGGTACTGCACACTGCACTGATGTTCCCAGGAAGGCCCAAGGGGAAAGATCATAGTCTGATGAGTAAGAGATGGATATTACAGGCACAGAGATGGCATTCACAGCCAATGGGATGCATATTCTGAATCAAGCCATTAACCCCCATTGATGGACTCACATGCTCTCTCAGTTCCATTTGGTCATAGAAGGGCCCTTCTGCGTGACAGTCCTTCTTGATTGATTCACTCTCTCTCAGGGTCAAGCCCTGGGCTCCACAGCTTCCTGGAACCACACTTCTCTGAGCCTTCAACACATCTGTCTCTGCCATGGGCCCCCTCAGGGAGTCCACTTGGTCTGGACCCTCACAGATGTCACAGTCTGCATGCCTTGGGAGAAGCCAGGCAGGACTCTGGTACAGTGTGACTCCCCTCAGGGCACGCTGTCCTGTGCAAGAAGCCTCCTCAGCCTTGACATTTCCTGGGTCCAATTTTGGAACATTTTGCATCCCACCCTTCCATTCACACTGTGAGTGTCCCGCAGCAAGTCAACCTGGATGGGACACTTGGGAAAGCCTTGTGCAACCCCAAGAATGCTACTCCTCACTTTGCAGTCAGCAGTGACTCTCGGAAAGAATTGTAAACTAAAAGGGTTTTTAGTTAACAAGAAAACAGTGAAGATCAGACCTTGTTAGAACAGAAAGGAGAAACTTTCAGCAAAGTCCATCTTGGGGGGATCCAGTGCTTGGTGCTCTAGACTTCCCTCTCTGAGTCTCAAATAGGAGACTGACTAGATCCAGTTGCCTGACGTCAGATAAGCTTCTTGCTCTTCCTCATTCCTTTGTCTTTTCCCCAAACCAATAGGTTACCTGGTTTGCATCAAAAACTCTGGCTAATTCTTGAAGAGGACAGGAGTCTGGTCATCAGTTGTCAGAGTGTTGGGTGTTGGTCATTCTCTGTCCCAGGCAGCCAGGCAGCAGTCACAACCCATTCCATCACTGCAGTCATCACAAACTCTCCCCTAAATACTTAAGCAACATATAGAGGAAAGTGAGTACACAGTCAGAGAAGACATTAAAAACATTCCCTCTTCCCCTCCACATTCACTCAATTCAGCAAGCGTCTGCTTTGTTGGGGTTTGCACAGAAGCTCATTGTCTATGGGACACTTCTATAATAGTTTTGTTAATTTCTGGGTCTTTTAAAGCTTCACATAGCTGCACACAGGCTCTTTGGTCCTGGTCCCCATCCCTAGTCGTCAAGGCTTTTATTGCTGCTTTTTTATCTAACCTTTGTCCTGTACAGAGTATTAATACATTTGGGTGATTTGTCATTCATCTTGTGAACCCTGAACTTCATGATTTCACCTGGACTGTGCCCTTAATAACTGGGCATTTACTGCATAGCTGTCATTATCATTTAAATGCAGAAATATTTTGGGGGTTCTTTTACCTGTAAAAATATTTTTAAAAAAAAGAAATCAGTAAAAATCCCAGGTTATAGATCAGGTTTTCAAAGCTATATATGAAAGTTGGCAAATCCCGGTGCCTTTCAGTGGGAAGCAGGTGTCTAAATCCCTTAGGCTCAATTTAATATTCAGGTTTAAATCTCCCATAGCTTTTGTTTGTTTTTTGCTTTACAATTTATAGAAAATGGGATGCTGAAAGCTTGCATCCTGCCTTCCATTAAATATAGGTACTTCGAAGCCTGAAATGGCAGTTGGGCACCTAACTCACCTGGCAGCTAAATTTCTACCAGTATAGTTTTTTGATTCTCTGAACTTCCTCTGATGGTCAGGAATAAAACTGCATTATTCCTGTTGGAGTCTATGAAACTGGCATTCCCCTGTGGGTTCTGACCCAGGGTGCATCATGATGGTAGTGATCAGAGGTGAAAGTAAGGGCATGTGCCCCAGTGCTCAGCTCCAGAAAGAGTCAACAGCGAATTATTTAAAGAGGTACCTGAGGACTTATTTAAATAGCTGATAAGGAACTATTTTCAAGGTGTTTCTCAAACTGCTGCTGGTTTCTCCAATCCCTCCCTACATATTCCTCTGCTACATTCAGCTTCTACGGTGCTGCAAGACCATTTATTGTTTTTTGAGTAATTTCAGCTACATTAATTGCTTAACTCGACTTTTGGTGATGTCTACACTGCAGGAATTTGAAGGAAGAACACACTTCCTTCGACTTCCCTTACTGCTCGTGAAATTAGTGTTAACAGCATTGACAGGAGCGCTCCTCTCAGATCGACTTAGCCATCTTAGCTCGACCACTAATTCAAACCCTGGGAGATTGATAGCATCAGCTTTGATCTTCATCTGCAGTGTAAACATACTCTAACTTACTCTGTCTTCCAAGCAAGTGTTTGCATGTGTAATTTTTATTTTCTTTTAAAAAATTGTTTTAGGTCTTCCTGAATCTTCTGCTGTCTTCAGATTACCATTCCCCAAAATAGAAATCCCCTTTAGCAGAGTGGACTATAAGAACATGCCTTTTTTATTTCAGATTTCTTCTAAAATAGGGTTTGAATTCACATTGATTAGGCGATGATCAGGCTAAATAGATGCAACATCATTGCCACAGAGCAGTGGTTCTCAACCTATTTACCATTGTGATTCACATATGCAGCTCTCTGTATGTTATATGGGCCACAGCCACCACAATCCATGTATACACTACCTGTATAGCCCTGAGGATGTTATATGCGCTGCAGCTGTGTGCTGATTGGACTGCAAGTGGTCTGCAATCTGCAGGCTAAGAACCACTTCCCCGAGAGCCACAGACTTCCTGTAAGTAAAGCTGGCTTTCAACCCTCTTTGGCACATTATCAGCACATGCTGTCTGTAGTCCACTGGATTTCAGCCTGTGGTTTGCAGATCCTTCTGGGACTGCATACTATGTCTATGAGTTCCAAAGGGGCCTTCATCTCCAGTTAAATGTTAGGAGATGTGAAAAGGAGAAACTGAAAAAACACTGGTGAAATCTATTCAGAATGTCATGAGCCTTAGATATAAGAGTAACCAAAGTGAGCTGTTTTGCTAATAACAAAGGGACAATAGATATCATACACTTTCTGAGGGCAAACCTCAAATGAATAAGGTCCCCTTGTATTATGATCAAAGCCATGGTTTGATCTCCAAATCTGGATAAAACATATTGGCAGACTAGCTTAACTTTAAGAAAAGTACCCCCCCTCCCCACTAGGGGCTCTTTAGTTAAATTACCCAAAATTTGGAATACTAACCTTATCCACCCCCAACTCCCAGCCCTTTCTTCTGCACCTCCCACACATCTCTAGCCCCTTGCTCTGAGCCTCCCATGCCTTTGCCTCAATCTCTGATACCCCCATCCCTTGTCCTGAGTCTCCTCACATCTTCACACACTCTAATGCGAATGAAACTGCATTAATAACAGAAAATTAGAGTTACTACTTCAATTACATATATTTTACATTCACAGTATTTTACATTACAAATCCTCTTCAGGTTTCAGTTATTACTTCTTGTTAGGTGGGATATGTTCATTTGTGGTCTAAGTGTGTCAACCAGCAGACATTTGGATAAACCTGGCAAACAAGTTTGCTTTTTTTGGGAGAAAGGACTGACTGAGCTAACTCCATGACAAGGTTGATTGCTATGAATAAGGCAAAGATAGGGCTTAACTATGTGTGAAGGGTAGGACTTATTAAGAGGGTACAGTAGTGCTTATGCACACCAATCACTGAATAGGAACTTGTCATAAGGCATGGATCATAGAATCATAGAATCCTAGGGCTGAAAGAGACCTCAGGAGGTCATCGAGTCAACCCTCTGCCCAAGCAGGACCAATCCAACTCAATCAACCCAGCCAGGGGTTTATCAAACGGAGATTTAAAAACCTCTAGGGATGGAGATTCCACCACCTCCCTAGGGAACCCATTCCAGTGCTTCACCACCCTCCTAGGGAAATAGTTTTCCTAATCTCCAACCTAGACCTCCCCCACTGCAACTTGAGCCCATTGCTCCTTGTTCTGCCATCTGTCACTACTGAGAACAGCCTCTCTCCATCCTCTTTTGAACCTCCCTTCAGGGAGTTGAAGTCTTCTATCAAATCCCCCTCACTCTTCTCTTCTGCAGACTAAACAAGCCCAAATCCAGTGCCCCCCCCCCCCCCCCATCATATTTGTTGCTCTCTGCTGTACATTCTCCAATGCATCTACATCCTTTCTGTAATTTTTTTTTTCAGAATTGAACACACTACTCCAGGGACGGCCTTACCAGTGCCAAATATTGGGGAATAATAACTTCTCTAGATATTCTAGAAATATTCCTCCTAATGCACCCTAATAAACCATTAGGCTATATTTGACTATAAGGGCACACTGTTGACTAGTATCCAGCTTCTCATTCACTGTAATACCTAGGTTTTTATATTTTTATTTTATTTTATTTTATTTTATTTTATTTTATTAGTGTATTATGCTACTTGAACAATCATGAATTGATAAATCGTGTAGAATATATTATCTCTGTTCTGAAGAATAAAAGAGCTGAATAATGGTGTTAATCATAAAGTCTGATAATAAGAGTTTTGCTCAAGTACAAAATATAGATAATAAATAAGCATAGAGGTTTTTTTTTTTCTTTTGTAGAAGGAGACAACTTGACAGAAAGCAGAACAGAAATGAGTAAGTCTGAACTGATTTATTTAGGCCTGCTGATTTTATGTTACCAACACTCTACTTACTACAAGTAGTTTTTTCTATTACGAAGGTACTGCTTGGTGAAGAGATTTATATAGAAAGATGGATAAAAGCTAGAAGTCTGGCATTCCTAGAAATAGAGCTAAGGTTGTGATGCCATGTATGGTGTATAGATATTAGATATTTTGATGCAAAGTCATTTTTTGAACTTGTAATAGAAGTCTGTGCAAATAATATATATATATATATATATAAGTTCAATTTATCTGTTTTTCTCTGTTTTCAGAGAGAGCTAAGGCAAAAAAGAAAAGTCAGGGCTATGCTTGTTTCTATACCTAATTTTCTTTTATCTGACTTCAAGTCGGATTCCCAACTCCTTCCAGCTAACTCTGATCCCCACACCTCATGGCTTTTGGTCCTTTCTTCACTTGCTGGGACTATGTCTAGACTACAGGGGTTTTCTGGGATTCCAGAGTTATCCCAGAAAACTCTGCCATGTCCAGGGAATGCGTTTGCTCTTCCACTTTTTTTGCAGAAGAGCAGACATGCTCTTTCAGAAGCCCTGTCTTCCTCCTCCCACAAGGAAGAAGGGCTCTTCTAAAAGAGGAGGTTTCTCTAAAATTTGGCCTAATGTAGATGGGAGAAATTTCAGAAAAGCCTCTTCCGAAAAACTATCCAAAAAAGGTATTTCTTTTTTCAATAAATCCCCATAGTGTAGACATAGCCTGGGAAACTTTATTAAAGCCTGGTGGACATATCAAAGTTATGTCAATGCAACACGGCATAAATTGAGCGAGCTATGCATGTGTCCACCCTTAAATATGTCATCACTGATGTAAATGTCCCTTTATGCTATCTTAATAACATCATCTCCTTGAGTGGTGCAAAGCTATGCTTGATGTAGGTAGCTCAACAAAACACAAGTGTAGACATTATGTGACTTATGTCAATCTTCACTGGCCTCCAGCACCTGCCACAAAATGTTCCACACAGACTATCTGGTCACCTCCACTTCCAAACATTCATGGTCTTGCCTCAGTCTTCCAACCTTTGGAGTACTTCCATGAATATGAAACACCCCCTAGAATTCTTAAACCAGTTATCTAATGAGATTACATAAGAACATAAGATTAGCCATACTGGGCAAGATCAAAGATCTATCTAGCTCAGTAGCCTGTCTTCCAATAGTGGCCAATGCCAGTTGCCCCAAAAGGATGAACAGAAAAGGTAGTCATCAAGAAATCCATTCCCTGGTGCTCATTCCAAGTTTCTGGCAAGATCAGGGTTTATTACCTAACCCAGCAAATAATTCTGAAAAAAAATGTGGTAAACACAGTAAATCTTTAATAGGAATTCAGTTTGGCAAACTCCAAATATCCATCATTCTAAACAGACTGTCATTTGCAGAGGCTAATAGTAAGAAGCTCTGATTGTGAACTTGGCAAAGGGTTGAAGAAGAAAATTGACTATCTTCTAATATTTCTGAGTTAAAATCCACAGAAAAATTCAAAATAATAATAAAAAAATTATTATTATTTTGTCCTTTTCTGTTTTTCCTGTACAAGGCCCTGGTTAAGAATGGTAGGTTTGCTTTGTCACCAAACTAGTAAAAGCCCAACCATGAAAATTGTTACCATATCCATCCTGAAGTTACAGCCCCTCACTGCAGCCATTGTCCATTATTTACACCTGTCTGATTTGAATTGCAAACCTATTTGGATATACCCATGTGACATTTGTATCTACATGCCCTGTCAAGCTCATGGGCATGTTCTGCTACTACTGTTATTCTGTAATTCTAGGTGTTCTTGTTTCAGTCTCATTATATACACTAATTGGTGACAATACTAGCTAAATGATACTGACGCGTCTCTGCTCAGCTTTACCAGGGTTTGGTTCAATTCTGGTCTGCCTTTAGGCTCAAGAACCAGACTTGCTACTTCTCAAATTACAAGAGTCTGTTTAGCTAAACCACAGTGTCCCAACTCATGATCTGAGTGAGATGGCCATGGGAACAGAGAAGAGCACAAAAGATGAGGAATGTGTATGAGTTGCAAGATGGTGGCCACTTGCATATGTGCTAGGTTTCAATATTAAATGTTGACTGTATTTGTTGATATATGATATTTGTTGACTGGAGCCTATATTGTATCCTAACAAAAAGTGACAGATTTCTAATTCTGAGTTTCCTTCAGTGTACATTGTCCCACAATGCAAATATCATTTAGATTCAAAGTAACCTGACAATACGTTTCTGACTCAAAGTTTCTCAGCTATACATATCTGTCTATTTATCTAATCTTAACATATCACTTTCTCAGATAATGTGAAAGCAGAAGTCAGTGACGAAAAAGGAATTAATGAAAATATTTTGTTTATTGGGAACCAGCCTTTCTGGGTGTACAAGAAGATCATCCAAATCTTATATTATTTTGGTAAGGGGTGAGAACTTTTACTAGAGGAGAAGGAAGAGAAATGGTGTGGGTTTTCAAGAGTTAACAATGTTTAACTGAAGTAGCAAGTGTTCCTGCTCTTGCATCTGGAAGAGGAGAAAAGCAGAATTTAATGCACCTTGAAGTTAATATTGGCAGTTTATTTTTAAATTTATGTCAGTAATGTAGTCTGACAGTTAATTTTAATGGAAAACAGACATCTGAAAGTTACATATTTAAATTATATGAATATATTTGCTAATTAAACAAGCTTTGATTGTTAAACTGTGTATTATATATAATCTCTATTTTGAAATGAATGAAAAAGCTGCAGAAGTGTATCAAACCTAGACTCTGACAATTGGAGTTATGCTCATGTACAGAGATCAAATAAATACAAAGACTTTTTTTTCTCTGTTTTAGAAGAAGACAGCATGACAGAACCCAACAAAGAAATGGGTAAGTCTGAACTGATGTTCAACTCTTTAATTGAAAAACAGAAGTTCTCTAAGAAGGAGAGGTGGACAACATCGTTCTTCAAATCAGTATAGCTTCCTTTCACATATAAGAATTTGTTGCTGGCTGTGCAGCAAAATAGGAAAGTTTAGTTAGGCTCCAAGAATTGCTATTAATGAATTTCACAACCTTTGTTGTTCTTTCTTACTCCCTGAAAATAACTTTGTCTAGTGTAGATTTATGTTTGGGAGTATGGGTATAGGCTGGAAGTCTGGCATTCCTAGGAAGTAGAGTTGAGGTTTTGATGTGAGTTGTGTGGTATATTGTAAATACAAGAATCTGTTCAGCTTCATCCTGCAGAAAAGCCCAGTGATTAATGCATACCTAATTGTTCTTTCCCTCCCTTGGTAATTTCCCATTATGTCCCCACCCATATTCCCTTATTCGTCCCTTGCTCTCCAAGCACTCATCACATCCCTGTCTATCCCAGGCTTTTATGCCCCAATGCATGCTCATTTACAAGTTCCCATGAAATTAAAGAAATGGAATTCTGTGGAAATGGAGATCTATTTCCTTCCTCCATGGGCTTTCAGATGGAGGAGAACAACTGGTGAGCTGAGTGAGTGGCGACAGGGGCAGAGAATGAAAGATGAGGGATGTGTATGCACTAAAAGCTAGTGGCCACCTGCAAATGTGCTGGGCCTGCATATCAAATTATGATGATATCTTATAATATATGGCAATTTAGCGACCATTTTATCATGCTTCCTTCAAAAGCAAAGTTATCTAAAGAGATATTTCTGATATATTTCTACTTCTGAATTTTCTCCGGTGTGTACATTGTCACATAATTTAAATCGGGTTTATATGGAAAGTCACTTGATAACCCTTTCTGACTTCAGAGTTTCTAGGCTTTGCATGTCTGTCTGTTTATCTAATCTTAACCTATCACTTTCTCAATAACGGGACAGCAGAAGTTAATGAAAAAAAAGGAATTATTGAAAATATTTGGGCTATGACGAATCAGCCTTTCCTATATCATTTTGGTAAGAGGTGGGAACTTTTACTTGTGGGGAGCGAGAGAGATGGGGCAGGTTTTCAAGAGTTAACAATGGTGAATTGACATAACAAGGATTCCTGCTCTTGTGTCTAGAAGAGGAGAAAAGCAGATTCTAACACCTTTCTCCCTCCCCAAACAGAAATATTTAAATATTTTTACCAAGTTCAAGAGGCAGAGGATGTAGTTATAGAAATATAGAGCTGGAAGTAGCCTCAAGAGGTCATCTAGCCCAGACCCTTTACTGAGGCAGGATCAAGCAAAACTAGACGCCAGCCTGTTCTTTAACACCTCCAGTGTTGGTGATTTCACAGCCTCCCTTGAAAGCCCATTACACATCTTATCAATTCTTCTTGTTAGAAAGTTTTTTGTAAAATCTCACCTAAATCTCCCGTTCTGCATATTAAGCCCATTTTTTATTGTCCTGCTTTCAGTCGACTTGGAAAACTATTCATCACAGTCCTCTTTACCTCAGCTCTGTACACTATTGATGACACTTATAAGGTCCCCTTTCAGTCTTTTTTTCTCCAAACTAAACATATCAGGCACGTCTGAACTACATTTATTTTCAAAAGAGGATATGAAAATTCCTTCTTCAGATCTCACTTCCAAAAGAGGCTCTTTCAAAAGTGAAAGTAGTCTGGAGGCATTTTTTTCTAGGGAAAAAAATCCTTCTTTTGAAGAAAAGAAAGCATAAACCTCCTTTTTTAAGGAAGAGCAGTTTTTTCGAAAAAGGTTTTTTTTCCAAAAAACCTGTGTTCAGAATACTTTCATTTTTGAAAGATCCTCTTTCAAAAGTGAGATCGGAAAAATCCTTTTTTGAAAACAAAATGAAGTCTTGACATAGCCATCACATTTTAGTATTTTTTCTATAAGTAAAGTTTCCTTCAATCCTTTTCTTTTTCCAGTCTCCCCATTGAACACTCTCCAGTATGTTCATATTTTTTTTAATGTGCAGTGCCTTCCCAGAATTTGATACAATATCCAGTGCTTAGTAGTGTGGGACAATTACCTCCCAGATCTTAGGGTGTGTCTAGACTACAGGGTTTTATCGACAAAAGTGGACTTTTGTCGACAAAATTATACCTGTGTCCACACTGCCTTTGAGTTATGTCAACATAAAGTCGACAAAACTCAGCAGTTTTGTCGACGTATGTAAACCTCATTCTACAAGGAATAACGCCTTTTGTTGACAGAGCTCTGTCGATAGAAGGCATTATTGCATCTACACTGTCCTTTGCGTCCACACTGTTATGTCGACAAAGCAGCTTACTTTGTCGACAGAACTGGATGTAGTTTAGATGCTCTTTGTCGACAGAAGCTTTGTAGACAGTATCTGTCAACAAAACTTCTGTTGACAAAACTCTGTAGTCTAGACATACCCTAAGATATAGCACTTCTGTAAATACACTCCAGAATAGTATTAACCTTTCTTTTCCTCAAATGCATCTTCTTGTTGACTTATGTTCAATTTGTGATCTACTGCAGCCCTCAGATCCATTTCTGCATCACTACCACTTGGCCAGTTATCCCCAGTTTGTAGTTATGCATTTGATTCTTCATTCCAAGAAGTGTCTGTCACTTAATTGTACGAAACTTCATATTGTTAATTTTGTAGAAATTCTCTATTTTGTCAAGATTATTTTGAATTCTAACCCTCTCTTCCAAAGTGCTTGCAACCTCTCTCTGGCTGTCATCTGCACATTTTATAAACATACATTTCATTCCTTATCCAAGTCATTTATGAAAATTGTGAGCAGTATTGGACCCAGAATTAACATATGTAGGACTCCACTGTACATGACCTCCTACTTTGACAATACACCATTGACATTTACTGTTTGAGTATGAACTTTTAACCAATTTTGTACCTACCTTACAGAAATTTCATCTGGACTGAATTTCACCAGTCAGGGTACGAGAATGTCCTACAGAAGTAGGACTCTATCAAAAGCCATACTAAAATCAATATATAATCAATCATACTTCAAGTTTTCCCATCAGAAATCCTGTCAAAGCAGGAAATTGATTGGTTTGTTATTATGTGTTCTTGATAAATCAATGTGGGCTATTATATATCACCATAAAATCCTGTTGCTGTTTTCAAATTGTTTGCTTAATCATTAATTCCAGTATCTCTCCAAACAGCAAAATTAGAATGCATATAATTTTAGGTCATTTTGATAATAGATCAATCTGGGACCCCAAGTAATTCAGGGTGTATTTAGGGGACAAGGACTTATGAAAGGATGCGGGATGAGACATGCTCTAGAGTGTTCCATTTTATCAGGGCTTAAGCCAGGTCTAGAGTATCTTCAGCCTTGCATCCCAGACCTGCTACCTCTCTAAGGGTATGTCTACACTACCCTCCTAATTCGAACTTGGAGGGTAATGTAGGCATACCGCATTTGCAAATGAAGCCCGGGATTTGAATTTCCCAGGCTTCATTTGCATAAGCCGGGCCCCGCCATTTTTAAATCCCGGCTAGTTCGAACCCCGTGCCGCACAGCTATACGTGGCACGAAGTAGCTAGTTCGGATTAGGCTTCTAATCCGAACTAGCTGTACTCCTCGTGGAATGAATTAGCGGGGTAGTGTAGACATACCCTAAGGATATGTATACAATGCAATGCTATTTTGGGATACCAGAGTATGCCAAAATCGCTATCCCGTTGTGTAGACAGCACCAAATGACTAAATAAGCTATTTCAAAATAGCATTGAAATAAGATACGGATTTTGCGGAGCTCAAATTGTGTAGCTTATTTTGAGTTACAGTGCTGTGTAGACACACCCTAAGGAAAGGAGGATCTTTGAGCCAGGTACACACTGTATGTCAATAATGCAGGCTTGAAAATTCTCTTCCTTCTCCCCAGTAATTCCCCCATCACTGCACACTTCCCCCTTTGCACCTCTCACTCAACTTCAAATTGGTCTGAAGCTTTCATTCTTTCCATGAATGCATACTTAGAACTTCCCCATAATGCAACCAAATTATTTGGCTTCCCTGGAGAAGGAAGAGCTGTTTACACCTTCCATAGGCTGGCAGTTGGAGAAGGCCAATTGCTGAGACAGAAAGATGAGTGAGCTGAGTGAGGTGGCAATGAAGCTGAGGAGTGAAATAAGAGGCTTTTCCAAAATTTGGCCCATTTACACTGGGCCAAATCTCAGAAAAGCCTCCTATTTCAGAAGATCTCTTCTTCCTTGTGGGAGGAGGA